GGTGGTAGTGTGGATGGAGGTGGAGGTTAGGCAGTGTTAGTGGTGAGGGGGGGGGGTGTTCGTAGTAGTGTTCGTCGCTGGTTCGGCCACCCAGTTGTGATGGAGCAGCACCAGACGGGAGCACACCACCCACACGCACCACACGCAAGCCCGCAAGACTCTGAAGTCAGAGGGCCCAAGCTTGCCAGCCACCGCCGAGGTGCCAGCTAACATGAAGGCTTGGCGGCCCCCGTCTGGTGCAGTCCCGCGAGCGGAGTCGTGAGAGACTGAACGAGTGCGCGGGCTATCGCGAGGCGGCCGATAGCGCCAACACGGCCCGCGATAGCAGCGAGGGGACGGTTATGGGTAAAAAAGCAGTATGGAGTCTGTGATGTCTGTGTCTGTCCGGCGGCCTCGGGGGCCCAGCCAATGGAATTGCGGGCTCGCACAAGGCGAGGGGCATGTATGCATCGTGCTCCACATCGCGGCACAGCGTTGATGCAGCATTTTCGGTCAATCGTGCAGCTGTGGCCATTTCGGCAGCGTGTTTGTGCTCCCAAAGCACTGCGACAACTTTGGCAGTGAAAAAACATCCATCTACAGCTCTATAGCCGACTGTTGTTACATATTGAATCGAAAGTTTATTTGAGGAACAAGTTCAAAAAGATACACGATATCCACTTCATTGCCATTGCATGCGTCTACGTCTTCGTGGCAGCGCTCATCCTTCTGCACCTGTCTGCATCATGGTATGGAGGGCCTTCCTTGACAACTCCTGGGATTGGTGGCATAACTTGGCACAACCCTGATAAGTGCCCATTTCCATGTCTCGCCAATCGCACCCAACCAAGTGCGTCACGAGTTACCTAAACTTTGATGCGAAATAGGTATCGTCGCGATCGCTTGAACTCCGCTTTGTAAAGCTAAATAAGAGGTAATTAACTTTACAGCTCAAAAAAATTTCGTTAGCGATGAAGATACTCAACCGAACCGAGGAAAGAAAAAAGCAATGCCCGTCCCGGCGATATCCTGTCTGCTGCAATTGGAAATCTCAAACCAACTCCTTAATAAGGTTCTATTGAAAAGAGAATCTCTGAATGAGAAGTATAATACCACCAAGTAAATCTTGAAATCGGAGTAAATGAAAGCAAATGGGCATCCAGGTAGGCCAACTTCTTTAAGTTCTTACGTCTAAGCCTAGTAGCAATAATATTGGCCAGAGTGAAAAGGCTCATCAAGCGAATGAATAAGCCGTCAATTGGTAGATCGGTTAATTTTCCTCTCGATTGGCCCCGAATGTATTGAAAGCTTCGCCGGTACCTAGCTGTTCGAAGAATCATAACTCCGTTCTCGTGCCAGCTAGATACACGAGAACAGGTAAATATAGCCAAACAGAATACACCGTCGTGTCTATTCATGTTTCTTCTGCGCTGGCAAGATATCAGGCTGCCAGTAGCAATCATGCAATCTCGAGCAAGAGCATATGTTGCCATGTGACTTCTAGGAAACGTTGAAAACCCATTTTTATGCCCATACACGTGCTGGGACGTGTACCACTTTACACGTAAACTCCTCACATGTTTACATGTTTCATATTTTGGTGCGTGGGGCTAATGTCTTTTCTCAAATACCTAGTCTGAGGGCGTCTGAGGCATAACCTCATCAAAAACGAGCTAGTACATTAACCAAGAAAAAAATAATGGCTTGTATAACCGAGCCATACGCCAAGTAGGTGCATTTTTTCAGCTGGGGCAATGTTGATAATTCGGATTTCTGTTACTCGAAGGTAGCGGATACGTGGAGGAGACTCAGAGAAGGGAAGATATAGGGAATTGGCCTCACTTATCCAAGGTTCCGTTGAAAACACCACAACAGAGGCTAGATCAAGTAGCCTCGTCCCCAGGCGGACTTCCGGAGGTTTCGAGATGCCAGCTCAATCTTGAATGCCAGCTTAGCTTTGGGCCATTTTCCGGGAGACGGGTCTGGATACGTCGGAAGAGGTATGTACAACAAACAAACAGCCCGGCGAAATTCACACAAAGCTACTGTCTACTAAGTACTCGGAGTTTCCCTGTAGCTCGTTCCCACACCCTCGGGGAGGCTTCCCTGGGAATGAGGTTAGCTCTGGGACTAGCCTAGTCTCGTGCCCCGACCTTCCTGCACGTTTCTTCTCAATTGGGTAGTATCGTCATGACCAGCAACTTCCCAATCCGACAAATGCGGACCATTCTGCCTTGGCGTGTAAGTCATGCACACGATTAGCACACGGTGGCCCCTCACGGCACTTCATCCGCAGACATCCACTTTTGAGCTGCCCCTCCACCACACACTAGCCTCGTATAACCAGGCTCCTCTTCTCATCACACCTTCCCATCTCCAGGCAATACAAGGATATATCTCAGCCTCTGCTCGGCTTTTCACGGTAATCCTGACCCAACATCAGGCATACATCACAGCATTTACGAGTTCATACCATATCATGGCCTGCATCGACCGATTGGTACTGAAACCCCGCGGTGATTTCGACTTGCTGGCATTCTTTCCGTTTCCAACCAACAGACAACTACTTCGGGCGTATTTGGACGCCGGTTACCTCACTAGGGCGTGCACCACAGGGTCGATGAGGCAAATACTCAAAGTAAGTACTTACATGTCCACCTAGTCTGTACCCAGGATGTTAGTACTTTCGGCAACATGGCAGAGTCCTCCATCAGGCTTAATCTATGCAAGTGCACGCACGCCTTCTCTGCGAACTTTTGCTTGCCATGGTCTCTTGGGAGATTCCCTTCCTTTGATAGCATGTTTTGGTGCCATTGAGACTAAATTCTGTATTGTAGCAATATATACAATGTTTAGCATACAAAATCCATTCAAAGCGTCAATATAAAGATCTCCATATATTCTTCAGGAAGCTCGCAGGAGAAATCCAATGGAGTTCCATCCAGACTGCGTGGATTGTTATACCATTTAGTACGTTCTTTACCCAAGGGCAGTACTCTATTTCTATTAACTTGGCTGCATTTGCTCTAGGATTCAGTGCTGGTATTTGGCATCCCTTGCTACCTATCTTCGAAAACCCTGATTCGCTAGCAGTCAACTACCTAGAGAATGTATGCATGCTGCTCCCATGCCCGCATGGTACCCTATGGAAACACATTTATAAAAACAAAAGATGTCCCACATGCAGGTCCATCGGGTCAGACTGCTGGAACCAATTCGGGTGGTCGTCTTGATGGAGTAAATGGAAGTCGGCCTTGCGTGTATCAACGGGCCACATCTATCCATCTCTCGAAACATGCATAATACTTCAAGTATGTACGACGCATCTCTTTGCTTTTTCCCCTACATTCTGGATCCCCCATATTCAAAAGCATGTCCAATGGCCAGGATTGACACAATATTCGAATGTGCTTACCCACACATCCTTTTCTCTGTCGCAATTTCTTGATGTCTCTGGCTTCAGCATACACTCTACATTAACTTTCTGATAGATACTAATGAAGCAGGTATTTAGCACTATGAGGTGCTATTACTTTATATTTCAATGGAATGCCAAAGCTCCAATATGGACTTCCCCACTTGTCGGCACCCGATTGGCAGAAATCTTGAAAGGGAAAAAGCATTGCGGGGGTAGCCTCGTGCCCAGAGGGCTCTAACGTAAAATCGGTCACCCACTTCCACCTTCTGCATAGAAAGGTAGAGCCCGAAGCCGAACAAGCAAGCAGTTCCGGTCGGGAGATGAGAACGGTAAGAAGGATAGGACTGCAGGAGTAGGTACCTAATCCTGGAATCCTCGGGCGCCTTTTATAAGGAACCCCTGCAACTTTTCTTTTCCTTACTTTCAGGCAGCATGGCTTACACTTCGCATTGAAAGGATTGAATTAACCCGACGAAGGGTGGGTGGGTATTGGTAAAATATTCTTCGATGCCCGATCACGGCAGAGCATATCTTTAGACTTGCTACAAGCAAATTCTAATATCTTCAATATCACAACACGTATCGGCTTTCACACTTCAAATGAATGATCAAAGAAGAAACTTTATTTATCCGTGTTCAGGGCCGCAAAATCGATAAAAACCTCATATGATCACAATGCATTTGTTACTGTAGTATGCAGTACTAGCGCTCTCCATGCACTCGTTGTCTGAGGAGTGTATGTATGTTGACTGAGATCTAACGGGGTTTGGAACAAGACTGACCCTAGCAATTGCTTGACAGGACCCATCATTGATCATCATACCTTTCGCCCCATTCTCAGATGAGGTAACTTGAACGAATCTCATTCATACATACTGTTTGAGTAGGTATTTGCCTATCAGCAGTGAGGGGCAAAGTTGAAATAATGCGGTTATTCATAAGTGGCTTGAGTAAGGCCGCCCTAACCATTCATTACTATTAAAGGTAAATGCTTAAGGATACTCGAGTAGGCACTTCAAATGCTGTCTCGGTACATGCACCCAAAGAAATGTCGATCTGGGTTAATTCTTAGGTGCAGGTCGACGCAACTCGAGTACCTATCTAGTGTTGACAGCAGTACTCGAGTACAGCGTTACAAGGTACGTACCCCTCTCCTGCGTACCCCTCTCCATCATCATACTTTAAGCATTCGTATCGCTATTATTACATTTTCCTGATCATGGGGTGGCCGAGTCGATAACTTACCTTAAGCTCTAATTAAAGTTTGGTCTGAGACTAAAATTTTGATTTATATTGAAAATGCAGCACGTGCTTACTTACAATCACCGGCCACTACTCTTTACGGGTATTTCCAACAGCGATTGAAATAATATTCGGATCCGATCCTCCATGGCGGCGAATCGATTCTCGGCAGATTCTCCAGCTCCTCACTAACCCCACAAGAATAGCTTATTTAAATTCGATCATTTATAGCAGCACTATCCGCCAGTGCATCCGAGATGTCAATTCTCTGCCAAGGACTAGCCGAGTATAAGCCCCATTGCTCGACCTCGATCCCAATTATTAAGATAATTCAGGATCTTCCCCAAAAAATTACCGAATATAGCAACACCTCGTTTCGATCGAGGAACCTCCTCCAAGCTGTAAGCTCGGTGCGCTTCCTCTGCGCCATACCGCTGGTGGATTGGATCTTTCCTTGAAAGTGAGATGGGAAGCTTAAGAGGTGTAATATAAACCTATGCTGCTGCTGCTGCTGCATTTGCCGGTGCTGGTGCTGGTGCTGGGTGGTGGTACGAATGTGGAGAAAGAAAGGCGTGTGATGTGATGTGCATGCAGACCAGAGCCCGAAACGTGGGAAGCAACGTTTGAGCTAGACTCGAGGGACGCGGTCATGATTGTATTTGTATGGGTGGTGGGTTGTGGGGAAGGGCGGGGGGCGGGCATATATGCATGTGTGGATGCATATGATCATTCTCGCGTTGAGGCAGACGTATTTACTCACGAGAACAGGTATTTATTTTACCGTTTCTGTGAGATAGGTTAGGTAAGTGTTTCTGCATTCAGGCCCCCGTTGCTTCCTCGCCGGTCTGTAGCATGGAAAGTGACTCGAAGCTGCAGAAAAGAAAAAAATATGATTGGGGTAACAAACATATCACGGTCACGGCGGGGTGTGATCTCGTGGTGTGGTGGGGTGGAGTTTATTTTAGGTTTTTTTGTTGGGGCCCTGAAGCTGATCATGATATATTGCAGTTTGCAGTTTGGTTTTGATACAAGTAGGCAATAAGACTGTTTATCCATCTATCGATTCTACCCATGGCCACCGAATCTTTGCCGTATTTACGTGGGAATCAATATCTCTCCAGATAAAGGAGGGGCATATATTCGGATCATTTATATGTCCTGTACCGGTACCTTTTTCTTTTCGACGTCAAGCTGGTCCTCTGTTATGAATGTATGGTGCACATGTGGATTATATGTTTGAGGATAATGTCCTTTTCTCCTTCATCTCATTGCCTCTGACGATCGAATCAGAATACCGTAAACGCTGGTGCATAATTATGAGCATCCATGCTTGTGACCTTTTGTACTTTTTGAGGTAGGCTGAAAAGACACTAAAAAGGGTCAATTCACACCAAACGATACTTGCTTGTAGAGCAATACATGCTTGCCAATAGCTAAGATACTTGCTTATGCACCAGCGTCTACGGTAGAATACTCGAGTTTGTGAGAAACAAAAGACAAAAAAAAAAAAGAAAATGATCAAACTCAAACTCAAATACAAATACAAATATGAGGCACAATCGATAAGCAATCATGAAATTGCAATACAGACGACCTTAGCTAGATGACTCCAACATCACATATATAGAAAACAATTGCAAGTAGACAAAAAAGAACGTAATTGTAATAATTAAAACCACACATATTTTAAATAAAACGCATGAACTCGAGTAAAGTTTTCAAATATTCCAAAAAAAAAACACATTCATTAGCCATATGCATTAAGACCAGCCTAACTACCTAATAGGTATGTAATTACAATTACCAAAACTACGTATACCAAACAGACTATATAAGAAAATCCTCCGAAATATACCACATACATACCTATGTAAGGTATATGCATCGATACATCCTATGCCCCTTTCCCTCCTCTTTCTTCCCCCTCGAGCAATCGATATCGATATCCGCTTTTCCAGAAAATTCGAATCAATATTCCGGAAACACTGCGCGCGTTGTCAAGCTCGAGCTCGAGCTCGAGCCTCCTCCTCTTACTTTCCAATTCCAATTCCATTTTCCGAAATTCCCTTCCCTTCCCTTCCCTTCCCTTGTGCGCATGCAAGCCTCCTTCCTTCCTTCCTTCCTTCCAACAAATCCGATCGATATCAATAACAACAGCTAGCTTCCAAATCCCAAACCATGGCCACCACAGTACCAAAAATAATCCCAGCTCCAGCCCATTCCCATATAAAAACAACATGTACAATAAAGACAAGATAAAACAAAAAACGCGAGAAGAGATATTAGAGAATTAAAGAATGTGCAAAAAAAATTAAAGTATACCTGTTACCCCAATTGATATATGTGAGCCCATTATTAACGTTAATATTCTCCAAATAAACAAAAAAACAAAAAAAAACCAGAGCGCTTTTTTTTTTTAAGGTGAGTAAAAAGGAGTGAGTGAGTAAAATCAAAAATAAGAGATATATGAGAGAGAGAGAGAGAGAGAGAAACAATTGTTAAAAAAAAAAAAAAAACCAGTCATAAAAAAGAAAAAAGAAGTGACGTCTACAATCATTCATATCGTATCATCATACTGCTGAAAATAAAAATAAAAAAAATTAAAAAAAACAAACAAACCCATCCAGAGGGCCATGTTAGTTAGTAAGTAAGTATCCCAAGCCCCGGGGGCCTCAAAACCCCTCCTCATCACTCGACGCCTCCGAATCCGGGTACCTCTCGGCCCACGACTCCCCAAAGCTAAACCACCTACTCGCCTCCCACGCCGCCTTTGCCGCCGCCCTGGCAGAAGACTCTCTCCTCCTCCTGCGCGTCGCGGCATCGATATCCCTATCATTTCTGTCCCTTTCCCTAAACCCATTTCCTTCATCCAAATCTTCCCCCTCAACCTCCCAAGACGTCCCAACCGTCCCACCCGTATTCCCATTAACAACCTCCATCCCATCATCACACAAACAACTCACACACCTCTCAACCCCCCATCCCCCCCTCTGAATCTCCTCAACCCTCTCCCTCACGCCCGCCCACCAATCCGCATTCCTCCTCTCCTCACCAGCACCGTCCTCGTCCGCAAACTCCGGCGTCTCGACATCCATCTCCAGCGCCAACCCCCTCTCCCACATGACCCTACAAACCCTCCACTCCCGCAACCACTCTGCCTCGCCACTGGGCGTCGGCCTGACCATGCCAAACCCGCCAAAGCAGTTGCCGCGCTTAATCTCCCTCGCCAACTTCTCCGGGTATGGAGTAAAGCTCGGTAGGGGGATCGCGTACAATTCCTCTCGGAGAAGGACATCAGTAGATACCGACGAGGACGAGGAAATCGATGGGATGGGGACGTTGTGGCCCGAGGAGGTCGGGCTGAGATGGTCGATTGGGCTTGCAGAGAGTGTGAGCTGCAGCGAGTAGTTCCCCGAACGTGAAGTTGCTGGGCTGGTGAATGTGAATGTAGTAGCCTGTGGAGGCGGGGTTCGTGGTTCCGGGTCGAATTGGGAGTCGGGAGATGTGCTTGTTGGGGATTGCTGGTTGTGATCTCCATAGCGATACCATTCCTCCGGGAGTTCCCTGCCTGGTGCGCCTGTGTTTGCACCAAATGATGATGATGGGCCACCACGTCCATTGAGGTGTGGAGCGGGCGGCGCATGAATGCTAACCACCCTCCGTTTCCCTTTTTCGGTAGAAATGTGTTCATCATCTTCAACCTCGACGACTTGCCCGGAAAACATCTCCCTAAGCTGCTCGGCTACAAAACTCGCTTGCTCGCGTATTGCGTAGCCCCCGGATCCCTCCCGCTGGAAGGCAAGGTCCCGGAGGTAACGTGCGACATCTGGCTCGAGGGTCACTACAACCCTGCCAGTGGAGGACGCATTCGAGGTGACGGTGTTGTTGGTACTAGGAACAATGGATTTTTGCTGCGGTGGTGATACTTGTTGTACTGTAGCCGGGAGAATAAGTGGACGAGGACCGTGAACGTTCTGGCTTCTCCCACGATAGTAATTTGTGACTGGCGGTTGTACAACCTGTGGTATCACCGGTTGTGGAGGCGCAGCGGCCGGTGTGTTTAGCTCCTCTAGGCTCTCATTCAACTCTGGTATAACCGAAAGTCTCGTAACCGTTGGCTCTGCAAAAAATAAAACCCAATTAGCAACCTCACTCAACCATCTTATGGAAACTAACAAAAAGGAAAACTCACCAATCATATCACGCCCCACATCATGCTCCTCCTCCTCCAGCCCCTCCCCATGATCTTCCACAACCCCCTTCTCCCTTCCACTCTCACCCATAAATTTCCTAAAACCCTTGGTAGCCATCTTCTTCAATGCTTTTTTAACCTTCTTTATCCCCCTCCGCAACCCCTTGCCCTCACGGCCTCTCTCCACAAATATACCATCATCCCCATCACCATCCTCAACCACATCCCTCTTCTTCCTCCGCCACCTCAACCCTCTACTCCCAAATATCGAGGGCGTATTCCTCCCACCCACCCCGGCCGTCTCAACATCCTCAATAAAAACAGAGACGTGATGCGACCTTGACGGGGACGGGTAGTCGTCCAAAGTAGCATCAGCTTCATCCACATCCTCGTGAATAGACACCCCATCAACACCATCATCATACTCCTCCTCACCCTCCTCATCCTCATCCTCAGGATGCGGCGGTAGCGGCGTCACAGCCCTCGACAACGCTGGAGACGGCGACCTTATCGACCCATTGATATCCCTCGGCTCCCTTCTCAGAGACCTGACCGTATCTGCCAAGGAATGATGACTCGAACTTGCCATCCTTCGTAACGACCTATGCTCACCACCTCCACTTCCAATATCCCTCACAATCCTCTGCTCAACATCCAACCCCTCTCCCTCATCATCACCACCATCACCCCCGAGCACGGTCTTCGGAGAAGGAGTAGAAACTACCCCAATCCGACTCAACTCATCCAACACTGCGGGCCCAAGCACCTGCGCAAGTACCTCCCTCTCAATCTCTTGAGGAAAGACAGTCCCTGCGCCGCTACCCTCGGCCACGCTAGTATGATCCACAGAGCTCTGTGCAGCCTGTGAATGCCCACTGTTATAATGTTGCTGTTGCTGTTGTTGATGATGGTGATGGTGATGCTTCCCAACCGCAATCGGCGAAGAAACCTCTGAATCCTCCACCGCTGCCGAACCAACTTGTGTATCTGTATAATAATCACCCACGGCACTCTGCCCCATCGTAGCAGTATCAGTATTCGTGGTCGTAGTGGTAGTCATTGCATACGACGGCGAAGTGACCATCACTCTTGGGCCCTGGACAATGGCCTCCGCGGACCAATCCTCCATCATATTTGCGCCGTGGCTATAGTCTGTCGGCGCTTCCTCACCACCAGCGGCCCCAGCCCCAGCCCCACTCCCAACCTCAACCACAGCTGGATCTGCGCCTCCACCACGCATCCCC